CTATTAGGTCTTTTCTGCTTTTTGTCTTTATTTAGCTTCTTAATTGTAACTGCTTCATTAAGATCATGTTTTCTTCTATTATTTAGAGGCTTCTTATACTCACCATAATACTTCAAACTTGCTAAAGGAGCTGATATTTATTAGGTGATTTTCTAGAAGGGAAGAGGTCAAAAAATTGAAATTTTATATATAAGACCTGATAATTTATATATTAAAAACTAGAAGGGGTAAGCCTCTAATAAAAAAAAATCAGATGATAAATAACACTGCTCTAATCTTTTGTTTTTTACCTCTGTGACAGAAAGATTCCACTTTAACTTTGTATTAAAATAATACAAACTTGAACTTCATACTTTAATTAGATTTTCTTCTGTTTCAAAATATCAATAGTGCTTTTCTACTCTGATTACCATTATTATTGTTTAGAAGACTATGTATACTTTGTAATTTCTTAATTGTCACTATCAAAAGCTATATTTAGTACATTGTAAGTTGCACTTTTAAATTTGCTTTTGTTTTCTAACTTTATAATATCAAATTGCCTGGGCGTTACTCTGTACAATTTATTTTAATCTAAATGTATTACCCAGTTTTTTCGTAAAATATACTTAAATATTACTTTAGTAGTAATATTTTATGATTTACTAATCAAAATCTTGCAATTTAAATATTAATTAATTTGTTTTACTAAGACAAATCAATTGGTATCAAAATTGTATAATTTTAATTAGCAAATTATAAAATATGTAATTGTATAATTAGTAGTATATTATAATAGAACTCTGAAATATATATAGATAGGTTAGATTTTAGTTTGCTTATTTTTGATTCTTTTTGTACAGATTATTTTTATTTATTTCTATTTATAGTAATTAGTTTGCTTATTTTTAACTTTTTTCTTGTAAATCTTTTTATATTTAGTAATTTTTATAAAAACCATACCTCTCTATATATACTTCAGGATCTTGTTATAATACTTATACTTACCTTATATTTATTAAATCTAAACATGTTTATAAATACTAAATTAAATTTAAACCAATTCTATCTTTATATTCAAGTTTGGTTTAGGTTTAAAAATTATAAATTTAATTTAGTTTAAATCCAAAATCTGCAAAATTTAAAATTCAAGTTTAGATTTAATTAAATCTAAATCTAAATTTAAATTGAACAAAAAAACTCTTTCTGACAATCATTTGAACCAAAATTTCCCACCAAACAAAAACAAAAATTTTGTTGGAGAGAAGAAAAATGCTTATAGAACAGTTTATGTAAAGGTCAACTTGCTTCTATGGGGGACTTCTTTACATATTTGGCATACAAATAGAAAACAAGATAACTAGCAGAAGGTAGCACCCTTGGTTTCAAAATTCTAGAAAGAAGATGCTCATGAGAAGTTGAAGCCTTTTTGTTGATGAAGTAATCTATAATGCAAAAGAATAGAATAGAAAGAGAACAACAAATGAGTTTTTTAACAATACTCCTTGGAACTTTAGAAACACTTTAGTGCTTCCTCTTGGTTTTTTTTACCTTTCTCTTGTTTTTGCTATTCTCTCCAAAATTTTCAAAAAAAAGTGGGTATTTGGGCTCACCCCCTCCAAAAGATCAACATTGTTTACACCTTCCTAATTTGAATATACTTAGTAGAATGCAACCACGTATTTGTTTTGTTTATCAATATGGTGCTATGTTATGAAAAAGAGATTGGTGCTCCATTTAGAAGATACCCAAGTTTTATTGATGCTCAGAACAAGTCCTCTACGATAAGGTGATATCTTATAATTGAGATATAGTAATTAGTTGTAATTATTATATAATTTTTATCCTTATGTCTAGTACAGGCTATAATAGTGTGTCATGGCTACTTTTTTTTTTTTTCACTTTTTTTATCTTTGTTCATTTATGTTAGATTATTTTAGAATTTGTGAGGTGTTTTTTTTCTAAAATGTTTATGTCTTTCATAAACATGGCTTTATTTTTTTTATTTTTATATACAAATAAGGGTTTTAATTATATTGTTGGGCTTTGGTAAAAGAAGTCTGAAAGAAGAGAGAGGTAGTCATGATGGGTGGCAAGAATCAACTATTAAGAGCCGGGTCATATCTAGTGGCAGGAGGGATCTGGAAGTAGATGAATCTTGCTATAGCAGGTCGAACATAGGTACCAAGTTGGCAACCAGGTTAGTTGTAACTTGTAATTTAGGTAGCACTAGGTGGATGTAGGCAAGGCACTTGTCATTTAGAGATAGTTCTCATATGCTATCTGCCAACTCGTTTAGAGTTTATTACTTGTCTGTTATAAATCCTATATGTAAATCCTAGTTGTAAAATTTTACTAATTCTAGATGAGTTGTACAAAGCCTAATAAAGTTATGGCATGACTGCCAAATTTGTTAAAAAAAAAAAAAAAAAAGAATCTAAATTGAACCAAACTAAACTTTGAAGCTTTACTCTTGCATATAGTTTATATATATATGTTCTAGCACAAGTTAAATTATTAAATAATACTTCTATGTAACTATTTATATAAACTACTATAAGCAAGACCTCATTTTAGAAAAAAAATTTAGTTTAGTTACACGAAATTTTTAACCAATAAAAAGGCTAAATTTATGTTACGTAACGAACAAAAGTTGGTGCCTATATATGTTTTTAGGCGTTTCTCACTGTAGTTGTTTAGTAAAGTTACAAATATATATAACTAAAAAATAAGTTATTAGACAAAAAACAATATATTATTAGAATAAAGCAGTAAACGGAATTATAAGACAATATAATTTATAATATTCAAAGATTTTATACAAAGTTTAATTATAGAATATGCCATAATGCCGTAATTTTTTAATATCACGACAATAGATAATGTTTAACGCGTATCAGATCACATGTCCGCATCGGCAATAAAGTTTTTTATACAGTATTCAACCCGGATTAACCAGATCAAAAAGCAAAAAGACGATCCAACTACAAAACCTATTAAACAAAACTGCATGCAGTTAATTATTCATAGCACGTCAAATATTAACAAACTCCTGATTTCTGACATTTTCCTATTTTGTAGTCGACCTGCTTTAAACAGGCGGTCGCTCTTTTGCTTATATTAATAACTTGAGCAATCTCGCTCGATAATTTTCCGAGAGCATGTTGACAAGTCAGTCAGTCCGAATTATATATTAATTAAATCAAAATTAGTCACAGCATTTTTTAATTAAATTTATTTATGGCACTTTTTGGTTAGCCTATATTTATTATTTAATTAAATGAGTTGTCGCATCTATCCGATGCTTTCTTTTTCGGGGATATTTAAAGAACCCTTTGAAGTTTTAAAAGAGTTTTAAAGAGAGGTTTCATATTAATAAATTACGAGTCATATACAGTACCCTATAGGGGTTATAAACAAAAATATTATTTTAATTGTTACAAACTAATTAATCGAAACCAAAATATTAATTAATCTAATTAATCAAATCTAAAAAAAAGTCTTGGGTACCGTAATTTCGTTCAATTCATATATTCGTTACAAATTTTTTTGTACTAGATTACTAAAGACGATTAATAATAAAAAATGAAAATAAAAATAAATAAATAAATATTATATATATATATCAAGTATACACACTAGTATATATATATATTACAAAAAGTTTGTAATTTCCACGTGTAAAATTATAACGCAAGTTATATGTACATACAATATAATGTAAAAATTGTTTACTTTGATTATTCTTGCATAAAGTTTTTATTTTTTTTTAATTTGTACAAGCAAATGATTTTTTAAAAAACAAATTATATAAAAATATAATAAATATTTGTAATACTGTACGCAAATTTAATTACGTACTGTACGTACGTAACTATATTTATAAAAATAGCTTACGCGTTTTTCTTTTTTTATCAATTTAATTAATATTGAACCTTTTATTTATTTCAAAATAAATTAATAATAATGAGATTTTTTATTAATTCAACCAATTTTTCAATAATCAATAAATAATATATAATAAAGTACTTTGTTTCAAATTATTAAATAATAAAATAATATTGTATATAATTAGAAATTATTATATAAATTTTTAAAATAAAAAAGTAATTATGATTTTTAATTAACCTTCACGTATTTATTTATTATTTATTTATTTAATCTGTTCCTTAGACATATCAGACATATCAGATATGTATACGTGTGTACTCCATCCAGTACATCCAGTACTCGTTAAAAAAAGATGGTAGTTGACACGTGAAATGACAGCAGCATGTCGTGTAATATGTAACAGTGTAGACATTACAGCATTATGCAACTATCAAATTTCACGAAAATTATGCTTAAGGATCATGCATCATCGATCAAAAGAAAATTACTTAACATCAGATAAGATTGCAGAAAGAAACAGTTGATAATGCAAGAAAAAATTAGTTACTCTATTTTACATACAGTTTTATTTAAATTTTTTTGATTTTGGTTCTTGTTATAAACAAGTAGTAGAAAAGAAAAGAGAAAAAAACTATTTTAAAAGAAAAAAAAGAAAAAATATTGAACATTCTTTTTGTAATTCCCACCCAAATAAATTGTTTTCTTAATTCACAATAGAAAAAAAAATTTTTTTTTTTTTTTTTTTTTATCTTGTATTTTTTGAATTCTGTATCTTTGGTTCTCTCATTATTTTTTGTCTAAATTTAAAACCTGAAAAAATTCTAATGTCCATCACATTGAGAGAACTAATGATTGTTGTGTAAATTTGAGAAAAAGAAAATAAAACGCAATGTTTTTTGATTTTTAAAGCTTATATAAAAAAAAAAAAGTAATGCAGAAAAGAAAAAAAAAAGAAAACGAGCATAAAAAAAAAGAAAGAGAAAAGAAAAAAAAAGACTATACAAATTTATAAAATTTTTTTTTATCTAAAAAAAAAAAAAGAAATAAAAAACAAGTGCCCGTCTGTTATAAAAAAAAAGTCTTTACCATAGCGTAATATAATTGAAAAAATCTAACTAAATATATATTATCTAATCCCAACCACCACTATTGCTGATTTCTTCTGTTGAGGACTGATCTTCTCGCTGTTGATATTGATCGTAACGTCTGGTCGGTTCTTCTACGGGTGTACCATCCGGTGACGGTGTATGTAATACGGTGCTCTGTTCAAAATAAACCATCAATTCCATCAGTTTTTATCGTTTTATCATTTTTATTATCTATTATTTCCATCAGCTCTATTATTTCCATCAGTTCTATTATTTCCATGAATTGAAAAAAATAGAATATATATAAAGAATATATATATATTAAAAATAAAAAAAAATATTAAATAAAATACTTGCCTGTTGTGCGTTTGTCACCATCTGAAGATTACTATTAGGGTAACCTTGTGGTGTAGATGGAGTTGCACCTGGAGTAGTATTACCAGCACCTAGACCCGGTAATTGATAAACAGCAGCACTGCTTCTTGGTGACGAGTGAGATGATGATGGAGTTGTTGCTTCAGGGAATTCGTATTTTACTCGTTTACCGGAATGATTCCAACCCGAAAAGGCAGAATTATTAGGGGAAGAATTTGAGCTTACATTCATTGGACTTGGAAAAGGACTAGCAGCAGCAGCATTTACTGCAGCGGTAACAGCAATATTATTTAGTGGAGTTGGAGGATGCATAGCAAGAGGGGGACTTGATTGATTCGAATTATTGACATTATATTCATCATTTTCTTCTTCACCTACGAAACCTCTTTTTTGACCAATTAGTTGCGGTGAACCACTTTGAGCTGGACTTCCTGATACATCGTTAGCCGAGACAATATTATAAAGGCCTTGATTATTTGGTCGTATGTAACCGTTACTACCGGGATTTTCCTCAGACTTTTTTTGATTTTTTTTTTTATATATATATATATTTTAAAAATTTTTTTTTTTTTTTTTAATTTTTTGATTATAAAAATTTTATGTTAAAAATCGGTAGAAACTTCACATAAAGGAAGTTTGTATTTTGTTGGAATAATTAGCCGTCGTCGCATTCCTTAATAGATTGCAACCACTCACCGCCGGTCCAGGAACCACACCTTGCTGTCCTTGAGGTTGACCGTTTATTAAACCATAACCAGCTTCATAATCTTCTAAATGAGTTTGTGGATGATTATTATTTCTTGGAGGTTGATTTGCATACATTGGTACAGCAGGTGGATTAGCAACATGTTGAGGACGTTCAGCATAACCGGTGGCTGGTGGATACGGAGATGATCCATGATCTTGACCTTGCGGTACATTAGGATTTCCCATGATTGGATTACCATTACCATATGGATACCCCCATTGTCGAGTTGTATCGGGTGAATATGGAGTATTATTAAAACCATTTGCGTAAGGATGAGTAGGTCTCCACTGAGATTGTGGACCATTGCCTATAGATGGAATTCTAGTTGACATTGATGGACCATATGAATTATGAAGAAAGATACTAGGATCATCCACAAATAAAGGATAGAGCTAAATCATAATAAAGAATTATATTATAAAGAATAAATTAATAAATTATTTTAATTATAAGTCGCAAGTCACGTGCGTGTGAATATTTACCAGTTCACTGATTTTGAATTGGGCGGCGAGAGTCTTTGCGCGTTGAAAAGTGATCCTATGATCAATAATTATTATCGTTAATGATTATTATAGTCAATGATCATATATAGTTATTATAGTTATTATTATAGTTATAGTTATTATTATAGTTAATGATTAAAATTATCATCATCAATTATTATAGTTAATAAATAATAATAATAATAATAATAATAATAATAATAAATATAAAAATAATAATTATTATTGTTATTATTATTGTTGATGTTGTTAAAGATTCAAATGATTAAAGCTCGATGATGATCATCAAGATGCGAGATCAAAAAACGGATCAAATCACAAGATGAGCACAAGATCAAACAAATATCAAAGATGATTTCAAAGATGATAAAAAGAAAAAAAAAACCCCCGCCACAAATAATAAAGAAGATGTAACAATTTCATCTAAAAAAAAAAAATAAACTTACCAAACACCTTTTAGATGCATAGCCCCAACCTTTACTACGACTCTTCCTTTTTCATTTTTAAGAATACCATCTCGTTTACCACGTGACATTCCAACAACGTTCAATAATTTCGTTCCGTTGATCATGTCATTGTCTGCGGGAAAAGAAAATAAAGTCCGGGGATAAGCGGAATAAAAAAAAAAGTTAAAGTTATTAAGATCAAAGTTAGTTGAAGTTAAAGAAATCAGATGATCAATATTATGTCACGAATTCAATAATAAAATATCAAATATCATATATCATAAATCATATATCATAAATGAAGTAATGCCGCGTTTAAAAAAAAAGTTTTTTAAAAAAAAAAAGGAAAATATATATTTACCTTGTCGTCGAGCTACACAAATTCCACGAGCATCAACTTGATAACATAAGGTTCCTTCATCTTCCCATATAGTAGTGGTAAGTTTTGGACGAGGAGTATGACCTTGAGGCATTCCTGAACCAGCACTACCGTAACCGACAGCAGGAACAAAGGCACTACTACCGTTAGCAGATAAGACAGCAGCACCATTTGGAGGGTTACCACCGCTAAAGTAAGAAGGCCAGAATGGGTGGGCGGTAGGGTTAGCAAAATGATGTTGAGAATACATCATGGTACTGCCAATGTTGTGTTCTGATTGAGGAGTCAACATTGTCGAAGTTTCTTGTTGAGGAAGAGAGTTCTTTGTAGTAGTGGGAGTAGTCACCGGGGTAGGGTGCTGAGGAGTCTGATTATTATATGGAGTAAAAGCCGATTGAGGGCCAGAAGCAGAAGGAGGAGTTTGTGTAGCGGTCGAAGTTAAAGAACGTGGACCAGCAGAAGAGCCTTGGGTGCTGGAAGAGGTATTGGTCGAAGGTTGCGTGTTTGCCGACGTGGTGGAAGGTATACTTATATTTCGAGGAGAGTTTGGCTTGTTATTTGGAGACGTCGTTGCGTTAGAGAGCGAAGGAGCCGGAGAAGTCGGCGTAGTTGGGTGTTGTGGTGGTGAGTAGTGAGTGCTGGCAGTTGTTAATGCAGGATTGGTGTTAGATGAATCGGTAAAAAGCTTATTTGAATTCTGGAAACCAGCCATAAATGAAAAAGTTGTCGCGTATAATGTCTATATGTAAGCGTCTGTATGTACCGCCAATCTGTTCTGTTTGAATTTTATATTTTTCAGCAACCAGCCGGACAGGAGCAAGGTTTATTGCAGTTTGGTATTTCAGAGATTTTGGTTGGTCGGACTTGTAGTTGAATTGTGGCGTGAGAAAATTGTATGTAATAGGATTGGTTGGAGTTTAAGGAAAAAAAATTTCTATATACGGAGGAAGGGATATAATAAGGGGGATATAGTTTCTGATATAGGTAAAGTGATGTCTGTATAGATACCCAAAGAAATAAGATCCGAAAATTCTTCCAGGGGCGACAAATACGGCTTTTAATACGCACCTATAATAACAATAATAATAATAAAAGAAAAAAATTATTACTTTGTACGAACGGATAGATGACCCGATGAAAAGTAAGAAGAAGAGAGAGAGAGAGAGAGCCTGTTATATAAAAGAAATAAATAAATAATAACCGCGAGAAAAGAATGACAGTTTAAAATGATTTTGATTTTTGATCTTTTTTTTTTTTTTTTATGTGTGTATATATATATTATTATATATATATATATATATTGTTTATTGTTATTATTATTAAGTGAAAGAACGAATAGATTGATAAAAAAAAAAAAAAATCTTTTTTTTTTTTTTTTACCAAGAAAAAAAAAGAGAATTGTATTTATAGAATCTTTTATTATTTATATAATCTTATACATAATAAGGATTGTCGTGCAAAAATTAATAAATAGGGCAACCCAAAAACAGGTGATAAGAGTTAATAATATACGTACCGAAAATAAAGTAGATTATTTGTCCGAGTAAAAAGTCTGCCTGTTATTTTTTGGGGTGCGTTACTTAAAAAAAAAAAAAAGAAAAAAAGAGGTTTATCCCGTCCAAAAAAACTCTTGTTTTTTTTATAATGGTACTATTGTCCCTTGTGTTTTTATTAGTCAGTTTCGGTAGCGGAAGGAGGTAGCCGAACACGAGGAGAAAATCGTATTGGAAAAGGGGCGTTGAAACAAGGATTAGATAAATGTTGATGAAATAAAATTAAAGTATATTATTTATTTTTATTCACGATTTCAGTTGTAAATGAAAAGGTTTTATAATTCGGCGTGTGAAGATTTTTTTCTGATAGATGATGAAAAGCGAAAAAAAAAATCTATTGAATTTGGTACAAAAAAAAATATATATAAAATGTTTTTAGGTTATTAGTATGTTTCAGAATTTTTAGAATGCTCTCTCTTTTTTTTTTTTTCTTCGTTGTAAACAGTTTCTATTATGGTTTCAAAAATCTATTATTTAGTCTATGCGAATAGGGGGGGAAAGAATATACAAGAGGGGGAAGGATGAAAAAAAATAAAAGATAAGATTTAACGTGAATTATCAAAGGCAATTAAAGATTAAATCAAGAATTATTTTTTTGAAAGAATATTTCTTTGGGCAGACAATAAAATATATATATATTTTTTTGCCTGCTATTTATTATTTTTTGATTCGAAGACGATTCGATTGAAGATAGCCCGGGGAACGGGATGAACAACGCTATATATATATTAAAAAAAAAAAAAAAAAAGAGAAAAATAGTATAATATATATTCACCCGTAATCTGTACGATAAATATGCAATTAAGAGCAAAGAAAGGGATGGTCAGGAGTGGAAGAAAGGTGGTTTTTATTAACGAGAACATGGTGTTGGAAAAAAAGCGTGACAAGCTGATTTATTAATAGTATTAATAGAATTAATATTATATATAATAAAAAGGTAAACTAAAAATACTAAAATACAAAATACTAAAATACTAAAATACAATATAGATCAAAAAAAAATTAAATAAAAAATAAAGGAAAGAAGGAAAGTCGGTAAATATAAATTAAATAAAGTAGCGTTACAACGACTCAGGCAGAATAGAGATAAACATATCGAAAATATCATTTAAGATTGTTTGAGTCAGATGAATTTTATTGGTGCCGATACAAAAAAAGACCAGAGTCCAGGACCAATTGTAACGAAAAATATTGATTACTATACAAAATATACAGAGTATAGTAATATAGTATAAGCAAATATGTAATATAATATAATAATATATTATAGTTGAGTAATATAAATAATATAGAATTAATAATAGGGAAGAGTGATCTCAGTGTAAGGGAAAAAAAAAAAAGGGCACACAAGTACAAGTAGACGAGCGACACAAACACAATTTTGAAAACAGATGCAAAAAAAATCATTTGACCTTTTTTGTCAAATTCCTGTTACAAATTTATTATTCGTCTTGTGTTCACACCAGTATTAAATAAACTTTGAAAGTCAATCAGTTTATTTTATAAACTTAAAGAACGGCTATTAACTGTAATAACTGATAAAAATTTTTATATCACATAATAGATCAGAAATATCGGTAATTCATATATTTTATATACTATTTGATTATTGCAGTTTTTTATCACTAACTCAATACTAACGCAATACTAACGCAATATTAAAAGATAAAAGAAAATCGAGTCGATTTATTACCAGAGACTACGGAGACAAGAAGCTCGCATACACTCTAAAATTGAAATATTCAGTATCGGTATGTACGTTGGTATGTACGGTAGATTGTTGAAGAAGAAACGCACACCATGTACATTAATCGGTTTAAAAAAATAAAAATAAAAAAAATTATAATAGTATATTATTATTTTTACATATGTATATCTACTGTATATAGTCTGTATGTCTGTATATCTGATATATATATGTATATATATACAATATATATAAATATATATATATATATATATAATAATATATATATATACGTTTGTGTATGTTTATACAGTATAACATGACAAAAAAAATTTTTTTTTAAAACCCGTCGTGGGTGTTTATTGAATATCTAAAGAAAGCTGCATATCTATCGAGAATCTATTGTGGTTGCAGAAAAGTTGCATCTTGTTGCGTAATATAAACACATATAAACATTTATATCTACTGTAATATACAGAAGTATACAGAAATACTACCTGACCAAACTCGAAATGGTATGCACTATATGTCTACAATTGTTTGAACGAACAAAAAGGTTAAGAGACACGAGACTTCCGTTCTGTTCGTAATTCTGTAATTATTATAACTTTACAATTATCAAAAGATAAAAAAAATGTTGATAAAAAAGATAATAGAAAATTGCCCTGAAGATGAAATTGTTTAGGTTGATATTCGGAGATTGAATACCCCCTATAAACTATTTGTGGATATCTAAACGAAACATCATTCCAAACTAATATAAGAAATCCCGGTGATTTACAATGACGAATCAAAATACATTGTCTCTAAAATGACAAATATGTTAAAATATGTTATTATATGTCATTAATATGTCATTGATATGTTATTGTTGTTGTTCTTTCTTTTATCTCTTTTTTTTTTTCTTTCTTTCCTTTTATTTTTATCAAATTTGTAATTTTTTTTTTTAACTTTTTTGCCGAATTTCTTATTCATTCATAAAAAAAAAAAAAAAAAGATCAGATAATTTAGATGGTTAGAATCTTTCGTGAAAAAATGAGCCATCACACGTGTGTTGAATATGTTGGGTGTTAAGTGTGTTAAAAGTTATTTGGGTGTGTTAGATATTTGTTTCATTATGTAAGTTATGTTATTATATCTGGCATCTCGATAACTCGATAGGAAAAGATTTACAGCGATTGTTGATAATTTAGGGTTGGATCTTTTCTTGTTTGTCTTTGTATAGTGGAAGAGAAAAATAGAGCGAAAGAATGTCCCATTGTGTTTGAATTGTTTGGTATTGGTATGTTTGTTGTAAATCCCATCTGGTTAAAAAACAAGATTTTTTTAGCCCATGTCAGTTTAATCTTTATAACAGTTACATACGCATTACAGCCAGCCAAATGATGTATATCTGAATATCTGAGTATGCAAGATCTTCTTTTGACCATCTCAATCAATACATTTATGGATTGAGAGAGAATGAAAAAGATTTCCGTGTTCTACGTATTATTAATATTATTAATATGTATACTATATGTATATTATGTACTAAACGTAATAAATGGACTAAATGGACTAAATGGACTAAATGTACTCGATGTATTGTAGTAAATGTACAGTACAGTAGTAAATGTACAGTACTAAATGTAAATGTACAGAATGTAATAATTCATATGCTAAGTACATCACCCATGCTCATTTTATTCACTTAAAATCTGGCAAGGAGAAAAAGTTATATATACATCTTATTAATATTATGGCAAGACCCTGCTGCGAGTTCAATGTTCAAAAACAGTAAATTATCATCGACTATAATCAATTAAGAAGGTGACAACCAAGATACTCATTACATTACTGATTTGTGCGTACATAACAATTTACCGCTTACATGCGTAATAAATTACCGTGTCGTACATCTTTAACTCTCTCCTTTATCCAATCATTTACGAATATACTTAAATTCGAAACATACATAATACTGTATGATACTATATTATATTAAAGACTGTATTAACGTTAAAGACTACATTAAAGATACGATATTATAAAGCCACTTTTTAAAAGATATTTAAAGTTATTAAAGATATTAATAAAATAGTAATTATGAATACTCTTTTTAGTATTCTTTTTTTTTTTTTTCTTATATTTAGAGGAATAATAGCATTAAGGATCTAGATTTTAAAATATTGTTTCCCGAATCGATATATTCTTTTCGTTTAACGAACGATTGATTCTTTTGTGATTCATTTTGTAAATAGATGCGCGTGTAATATAATAATTATTTCTATTTTTGTATTTCTGTTCCCTATTTTTTAATCGCAAGAACGATTTTAATTTCCATTTGAGAGATTTAAGAGGTATATGTGAACTTATGTAAATATATGTGAATATATGTATATATATGTATATATGTATATATGCACGTATGTACATCCATTTTTTAATTTGATAATTATTAGACTTGTTAACCCGCATGGTGATGCTCTCTCTTAATGCTCTTTTGTCCATCATTACAATGTTTACTCGATCTTTTATTTACATCTTTGGTCAAACATGGATTTGCGGATTTGAGAAAAAAAAAAACGGTACGGTCACATTTACATCATATATCAGATATTACTTCATTTGCGTAAAATCTATACGTCATATATATCAAAATGTTTTAATGTTTCTATACTAAATTCCTCGTGAGTGTGTGTTATATACTAAAAGATGCTTCGTAAAAAATATAAACGTTTCGATTATAACCATCAGGAAAACCTTAATATGATAACGATAATAAGTTATTGATGGAGTGACAAATTAATACCAATCAAGTGACAAAACTTGTATTTATGAAAAAAAAACAATTTGTGTCCAGCATAAATTCATTACCCAAAATTATAAAAAATGATATCATTGCATATACACATTTACAGTCACGTACATTATTATTTATCAAAGCAATCAAGCAACTTTTTGTGATTTAGTAATAGTTTATAGCCGAAAATAGGTCAATCAGAAAATGCTGTTATTATGTGTTTTTTTTGATCCAAAGTTCAAAGTACGAGGGAAGATGAATTATACATTGTCAAACTCAACTTTAAAACGTCACATATAAACAATTTTTTTTTTTCGATTCTTTTTAATTCTTTATTTTACATTGCATACATTACATCAACAAATAAATTAATACTATTTAATACTATTATAATAATTACATATACATATATATACATATAATGCGTTAAATAATAAACTTTGTATTATTGTTTTTTATTTAATAATGTTTGACAAAAAAAATAACTAATATAAAAACTTATAAAAATGACATATTATAAATCGGAAGTTTTTTTTCCTATTTCAGATACTAACCATTATTGGAAACATTTATTAACAACATTCGGTTAAAAAATTTTTTTTTATTAAACGTTGCGAAAAATTAGTAAACGTTAATTTTTTTTTTGATCATTTGACATTGAAACTTATTAAACTTATTAAACTTATTCTTTGAATCATGATACAAAAAAGTATAGAAAGTAAAATTAATGAAATTTTGGCTAATAAGTATTTAGAAATAAATGAACAACTATGCCTTTTTTTTTCTTGGCAAATGAAAAATTATTAATAAATTAATAATCTTTGGTAATCATGGTATTCCTTCAACATCTATTTCCATTAGTATCCATCAATACTAACTTTGTACAAAATTTACGAAAAAAAAAATTTAATAAATAAACAAATAAATTAAATCAATAAATAAATTAATAATAAAATAAATTAATTCGTTTACCGACATTGCGCAAGTTAACGCAAGGGTATCCTGCATTATGCTGTTGGGGGTAGGCATAAATTAAAATTACATGTATATTTAATTGCATTTTGTTTATATTTTCTGCCTTTGAATATATTTTTTTTCTCTCTTTTACTACCTTTTTGCCGTTCTGCATGTATGCATTCTGCACCACTCATTCTTCGAGTCTCTCTTTCCTCAAAATGGAATAGCCAGGAGGTCATCTTTACTTGAAATTATAAATGATTTAGTATATTATTGGTGAAAATATGAGTAAATCAAAAGTTTCAATGATCAAATTTTAGAATATATATTGTTGATTAAATTGTTAAAATATATTTTATACATTAATTTTAATAAATATCGATTACGGTAATTGAATCGAATGTTTGATAAAGTTCAAAAAATTTTATATTATATTATATATTATATGATTAAATGATTATATGGTATTACATTAGATTACATTATCGTTCTTTTATAATTTTTTATAATTATTATTTATAATTATTATAATTATTATAATTATTATACAATATTGTATTATAAATCAATGAAAATTTTTGGGTTTCACTAGAGATTCTGGAGAGGAGAGGTAAAGAATAGGAAAATGATAAAAAAAAACACACACAAAGAAACAACTGACTAATCAACTACTTTGAGACTAAACTTACACTTCAATAAGGAAAGGTTAATCAATTACATAGGCTACGCCTTAAACGAAACACCTGAATGAATAATAATACTATATTAGTATTTGTATAAGTATCGATTTATCGGGACGACGCCAAAAAGTTCCCTAGTACACAAAAAGAACGAATCATCAACAAAGTAATGAATGAGTTCAAAGCAAGGAACGCAAGGGCCACGCGCAGAGTAAATGTATGATGTGAGCCATATGTGGCCTTAAACGATACTAATACAAAATTGATGATTTTACTCGTGTTTTTAATTTTTTTTTATATTAATTTTAATTAGTTGAAATGCAAAAGAAGACTTGAAGGAGGTTCGAGAATTTCACGTCATGCGAAAATAAACATATATTCTGATCATGTCAGACCTGTCATCTATATTTTTGTAACAAGATAAAATAAAAAACAATATTAAACAATATTTTAACAATATCGATGTGACCTAAGCAATTTAGCAATTGCATATTGATACATTAACTATATATAATAGACTATATATAATAATAATAATAATAATAATAATAATAAACTATATATAAAACTATACATAAAAAAAAAAAACGATTATACGTATATACATTTAAATACATTAATTATTTAATTAGATTGGGTCGGAGTAGTTTTGTTGAAATAGCTTAATCAGGAAAATTTAGAAGCCCGGTGACAAATGGCCGCGACTCGCGTAAGTGTAGCACAGGGAGTCATATATCTAAAATAGGAATACTGAACTTGCACTATACTTTTGTATAATAGAATTTCACCAATGAATGATCTACTCGATTATTCTGTGGGAGAACAATTCTTTGGCTAATCTAATTTTGGATTTGTCATATGTCATCGAAAGAAAAAAAAGAAAAAAAAAAAAATCGAAACAGGTTTTTTTCCCTTTCTTTCGAAACAAAATAAAAAACACGGGGAACACCGGAAGATATTTCGGTAAACAAGTCCCTAAAATTTCAATTCTTTAAATCTTTTTGAATAAATAACTAGTTTTTAACTAGTGATTATCAATTTAAATACTAGTTTTTTAGAGACAGGTGATCAATAAATTTCGTAAAGGGAATTACAAATAAAGAAATTAATAAAGATATATTAAAAGATATTACGTATTAAAGATATTAAAAAAAGATATTCGTATTAAAGATGTCGTAAAATAAGATGTAAAGAAACACAAAGATCCAAGAATTCTTCTTGATTTTTTTTTTTTTTTTCTTTTTTTTTTTTAAAGAAAAGATGATCAACGCTCTTTTTGGGTGGACGGATTTGGATCATTGGTTAAACATATTCCTATTGGAGCAACATCTTCCATGATTTGCCTGTGACAACCTGTAAACTTTATCTGAGACATCCAAAATAGGGGGATTATTGAAAGTTACAAATTCTAACATTCAAGGAGTGACCACGTAAAGAATTATCTACATTTCTAGACGTAGTAAATAAGACAATGATTCTTTTATTATAATAATAATAATTATTATTATTATTCACGTTTTTCATATCTTTTTAAGATAGATACTGACTGTATCTAGAGCACTATCTAATACTATAACCGAATAATGTATAACCGAATAATGTATAACCGAATAATGTATAACCGAATAATGTATAACCGAATAATGTATAACTGAATATTGTATAACTGAATATTGTACGTATAACTGAATATTGTATAATTAAAAATACTACGTATTAATACAACGTATTACGTACTGTATTAAAATTAGCGTAATCATCATTAAATCATCATTATAATTAAAATTAACTACACTGCAGTACTGTATACTGTATACTGTAATAATGATTTAAATCAGATAAAGTCATTTTAAATTTTCTTTAAAAAGCTCACAAATTTTTTTTATATTTGTTTCTAGGAAAATTTCACCGAGTGTACATAATAATTTTATTGCACAGCGTAAATGTTTGATAGTATGTTTTGCCGAAACTATCTTTTACAGACTGACAGGTTATAAAATCAAAAAAAGTTTAGGATTGTAATACATTCTGAATAATTTTTTTTGCACTACCAAAAAAAATTATGGCGGTTCATATTAACCAATCTCCAGTCTAAAAAACGTTTTAAGTAAATATTATTTATTCATTATATTATTCAAAATTGTTAAAATAAAATAAAAAAAAATAATGGTAAATTTGTTAATGTAAACAATCAGCGCCTCTCTTTTACTCTGTTCGTTCACTTCAATCATTTTAATCAATTTTCATGTTTATTTTCATGTTTACTAATCATATTTTAAAACCATTCAAGGGGCAGATCCTTTTTTAATTTTTCTGTTATTTAATCCTGATAAACTTTTATATCAACGATGATATAGTTCACATGATACAAACCTTTGATTTAAAGTCAGAAACAAGTTGTTCATCTTGTTCTAATGTGTGATTTGATGGATGCAGTATATAAATAAATATTATTGATTCATTTACTTTGTCATACAAACAATTACCCGTAATTCTCATTTTCTCATAAGGATATAAAAAAGAAAGTCGGAACCTATAAATGGAAGAAAGAAATGAGGGTCATCTGAAGAATAATCTTTGAGAAAGTGTATAGAATTCTTTCGTGGATATAACCACTTTAGGCCGATGACGGGAAGTAATAACAAAATAGAATGTGTAGTAGTAGTACGATGGAGTATATGAAGTGTGATGGAATGTGATGGTTTGCTTATATTTGATATATTTTGAAACGAATATTTGATATATTTTGATACGAATATTTGATATATTTTGATACGTATATTTGATATATTTGATATATTTTGATATTTTTGTTATTCTGAATAACCGATATGTTTATAATTATAGGTCGTACGACTTTGCAGTTCATTTAAAAAAGTAAAAAGAAAATAAAAAAATAAAAAAAAATAATAATAAGTAAATTATCCGCAATATTTATTTTCGGATGCAAGATAACTTACTTAGTAGTAGAATATAATAAAAAAAGAATGTTTAAAAGCGCCCTCGATCCTTTGCCGCGATCCGATAGACATTATCGCAGGAGTACTGCAGAATTTTTATTCAAATTGGAGACAAACAAATAATAATCAAGGTATAAACAGAACAGTACGGTAAATAAATGAACCAAATAATCGACGTAGCATTTGCTCACATACATTATTCTGTTTATTTTTGACTGCTGCTTTGCTTGGTGACCACCAGTAGTACGCTTCATCCAATGTGTATATCAAAATAACGCATAAGCACTTACGTATAATTTAATTACCCCTTACCGCCGGCATTTTTTGTGATTCATAACCCCCATTATCATTTTATCCATAAGCGGTTTTTGATGTCTATGAGAACCAAACATTTCTCAAAACATTGCTTATTTATCAGTAAACAGATCATACTCTGGCATATTAAACGCACTTTATCGACTAAGGTTAGCTAAAAAAAAAAATTTTATAAAATTTTTTTAAATAATCACATAAATGTACGTTGTTCATCATTTCATAGCATTTATTATAATATTAACGATGATTTAAGATTATATCCGATATAAGCGTTTATTAATGTGTTTATCTGTTATTAATGTGTTTATTACGGTAGTGTGTTCATCATCACTGTGTTTATCAGTACGTTTATCAGTGTTTATTACTATCTGCTATCTGATAGTGGTGGTAGTACTGATACGTAGTAGTAGTACTATGGTATGTAGTATTGCCATACTGTAGATGTTTATTAACGTTACCCGTTACTGATATGTTTATTAGTATGTTTTATTAGTATGTTTTATTAGTATATTTTTTATTAGTATGTTTATTAGTACGTATGTTTGTTAGTGTGTTTATTAATGTTTTTTTGTTATTGTGTTTCTTAATGTTTTTTGTTGTGTTTACTACAGTACAACATTAAGTATTAGTGGTATTAGTGGTATTTAACGGTATCAGCATTGGTAATTTTATATCACTAGATATTTTTGGATACTTGAGGATATTTTGGATACTTTTGTACATATGTAATTGATCCTTAATTATCATAATCCCTCACTTGGATACGGATTCTACCCCCGAGATGTTAATATTTTTGTTTTGTTTATACTAAACACCTAAACATAATACCCCCCCCTCGTTTTCTAGTTACATTCTCTCCTTTGTATCTTTGTAACCTTTAGTATCCTTATAATGCCCTATAGTGTCCTATAGTGGTTATTTGACCAAGCGATAGGGCTCATTTCAATGATTATGAGTTTTAATTTGTTTATGGTCACACCACCCCCTTAATGTTAAATTGAGAATTGATTAGCAACTTGACGGGTGACACGATTGGCGTTTAGTAATTGTGTTCATTTCTTTTGTAACGTACGTACAGAAAAAAATAAAAAGTTTGTAAGAAAGTACATAACATAAGAAGTACATAAGAAATTGATCAGATTTTCGCTTATCATATTTGATTACGTACTCTAATTCTCTTGCTTCCTAATTATTTGCCATACGGATGATCAATTACCCATTTCTCCAACCACTTAATTTTTTTGTTTATTCGATTAATTTGTTTATTATCAATAAAGTGGGTGGTCAACAAACTAACAATACAGCAATAACGATAATAAACAACAACTTACCGTTAAGATTACACAAAAAAAAACTCTTTTTTGAAAAGACTCGCACCAACCACTAAATGGTGTTTAGATGCTGTTTGATAAGATTTAATCATACGTGTATATTGTAAATCATGGTTAATCATAGCAGATAGTTGGTTAATCAGCGTTGGATAATACGTAATCATAATAAAATAATAATATATAATATATATAGTAATAATAATAATAATACGTAGTAATAATAATAGTAATATAATAGTAATATAATAATAATAATAGTAATATAATAACAACAATAATAATTATCGTTATTGTTATTGCTATTATTATTATTATAGGTGTTTCCTTATTATCGTTATATTATTATTATTATTTCGATGCACTATTATATACATATTATTATTGTTTTATTATTTTTATCTGTTATGTTATTAGATTATACATTTTACATGATATACATGATATATGTTTTTTTATTATGCCTATTATTTGTATATTAGTTATTACATAGGATTATAACAGATAATGATAAAGTTATTCTTAGTTATTAGTTGCTAGTTATTACTATTACTATTACTTTACGTAAGTTATTAATTATTACTTTACGTAATTTACATAAGTTATATTTTAAACGAACCTCCACATTTTTAAAAATCGAACATCAAAATTATGCAGGCCCATTATAATAAAAATATATTGTACATTGTAGGCGACCGGGGATGCTACTACTTACAGTTTATTGCATACTTGTACTACAATATTTTAATATGTGAAACTTTAATTGCATCAATAAGTTACATTTATCGTTTATCATTTTATTCGTTTTATAGCTATACATTATATATTATGTTCGCTTTTTTTTTTATAGATCGAAAGGATTTTGAAACCTAGTTTGACTAATTTAGATAATATAATGTAAGGTTTAAAGCCTGAATGCATTCAATATGCTGACTGGCACTGCTTCGCATATGATATACCCTATCATAGAACTTTATCAGAGAATTATTGATATTTTTCATATTTTTCACGAGGTTTAGAATTATTTTGATCAAGCCTTGGAACAGGTTTTTAGAATATTTTAAAGAATTTTAATTTCTCTGTAACTCTGTATTCACCCAAAAACAAACGAATGATCAATGCCTTACCGCGAATCAGACTCCTTAACAGATAATAATAGATAATAACGGATAAGATAGGAAGAATACACATCCTAATTTGTTAATAACATAAGCGAAAGATCCCAGGATAAAAAATGATGACACTAAAAATAAATACGGATTTATTGGATTAAATAAAGGAAATTATGCGTATAATAATAATAACGATAAGGCTAAATAATTTTTAACAAAAGGTACCGATCCTTTTTTTCTCTCTAAAAGAGAATAAAAAAAAATCCAGGGATTAGTGTAACTTTACTTTTTCCATTGTAATGTATGCGCATTCTATTCTGCAAAATCTTTTGTAATGTATGCGTACTTTATTCGTACTTTATTCTATAATTCTTTCAAAACATCACTAGCATAACTAGCTTTAGTGACGTTAGTAGCTTCAGTAGTGTCACTGCGTCACTATCGGTTATTGGCGACACTGGCGTCATTGGCGTCACTTGCGTCACTGGCGTCACCAGCTTCACCAGCATCATTAGTGTCACTAGCAACACCAGTATTACTAATGCTTTGCTAGTGATACCAAATACCAAACGAAACATGTAACGTTAATCTCCTGATGCTGGTATATACCAATTAGTAACGTTTTTCAAAAGTTAAAGTTTTTTAGAATTTTTTCTCTAAAATTCTAAAAAATTCTTAGAGAAACCTTACAAGATTGAATCAAGAAAATATTTGTTTTAAACAGGAGACGGATCCATGTATCACATTCTTCTATCCATATGATATATACAAATAACTAAAATAATTTAAATTATAATTTAAAATATATATTTAAAATAATTAAAATAATTAGAACATAAATACTTAACAAAAGTCGAGTTTTTCCGTGCCTCCCATTTATGTACAATTTGATTGCATACCTATAAAGTAATACAAAAAGGGAATCAATCACAAACGGGTTATCCCTATAGGTTACCTATTTTTTCATTATAAAATGAAATTCACACGAAAATAAAAATTATTAATTTTTTTTAAAAGTTGATTTTAGTATTATTTTTTTTATTATTATCAGTATCGGTTATCACCATTTAATTAAAAAAATTAAAAAAACTCTTATACTATTTAAAATTTTTATGCCATTTATTTCCTGATTTGTTAACATAAAAATAATGTGATTAACATTTTTTTTATTTTTTGTTACGCACAAATTAAAATTCTGATTTCTTTGTATCACGTTAAATTTCTACTACATCTTTAAAAAAAAAAAAATACTAACACAAAGTCAAAAAAAAAATATAAACATTAAATGCAATATTGTTTAGATTTTTTTTTTTTAGCTAATCAATAAACTAAGCCATACTAAAGAACACACGAAAAATATGGTCGTGTTAATGGAATAAAATTATTATTAGTCATACAAATGTTACAAATATTTATAAAAAAATATATCGATACATATAGAATATTTATAGAATATGTACAAAAGATACAGTATATCAGATATACAACGCGGTGATTTATGTATAAGGTCGATTAGTTAGGAAACACCAATATAAACAAATTATCCGCACTAAACAATTTTTTACTTATGATATTATCCTAAAGATTTGTTTAATCATATGTCCTTTTTTTTTCACGTTTGAGGCTAATATTAATATATTTATTATTGAATCTTTTGTTTATCATTTATTTATTTCTTTATTTTGATTTGTGTAATTCATAACCAAAACCATAGGATATTATTCAAGTGTTATACGTATTTGAGTGTTATTTTTAGGTGTTATTTTTTGAGTATTATTTGATAGTGATTGAGTATTATTTTATAGTGATTAAGTATTATTTTTGATAGTGATTGAGTATTATTTGATAGTGATTGAATATTATACAGTTATACGTATCATTTTATCAAATTTGTAATTTAATGATCTTTAGAAATAATAGATTTATCTATTTATCTTTATTAAGTGCATAAGGTCATATGATGCACTTTGATTTATAAACATCAAGCTGTTGATTTAATAAACAAATTAATGCTAAGACTATAAGAGAAAAAAATAAAAAAATAAAAAAAGGTACGTACGTACTTTGATAATTTCAACGTTTGATACGTGCATACATAATAAGTACGTACGTTACATTGATTAGCATTTACTTGATGCATTTAACAAATTAAAATTCATTCTCAGGAGTTTCAAGTTACGAAAGAGAATAACACGGCAGCTTCTAATAATAAATCATAGTGCATAAAAAACAAAGATTTCATCTAAATTTCAATCTTTTTTTCTCAAAAAAATCTGCACCAGATCAAAATTATAATATATATGTTGTATACTGTTTAACAAAGATTAGTTCTTTATGCAATAAATTCTCTTATGGAATTAGATCGATGATATAATAAATAAATTTAACCAGATCTTTGAACACTGGTCTTTTTTTTGCAACACGAAGTTTCTCCTCTTCCTTCAAATACGTAATTGATCTTCTGTACTACTTTATTACATGAACACATTATCGTTTAGTAAATAAAATTTTTTATAATGGAAAAAAATTTTTTTTTTTTTTTGCGCGCTTTTTTTTATCATGAAATTTTTTTTTTCTCGTGTCATTTTCTATATATATATTTATTGTTCTTTGTTCTTTTTTTTCTTTATTCTCCCTTACAATAAAAAAAAGTTTCATAAAAAAATCAGCCTCTCATTCAATTTAAATCAAATTTCTCTAGACTGTTCAGATCATTTCCCACATAAATTTAACTAAAGCCTTTTTTTTTTTTTTTTCTTTCGTTGGATCACGTAATCTTGAAACCCTTAATCGGGGATGAGGATATATTGTATAGAAAATTGTATAGAAGAAAGGGGTGGTTATCACAATCATGTTGGGGCACGTAAGGATCACAAGTTATAACTGATAAGTGTTAGAAGCGTTGATCTACAAATTTTGACAAAAAGGTTTTTTAAAGTTTTAATAAATAAATGCTATATAGTAATTTTTAGTAATTTTAGTAACACCCTAGAAAAATAGAAAAGCTAGTAATTACAATAACTTTAGTAACTTTAGTAACTCTAGAAATGATTAGATGATTAGTATGGTAATCATTGCTTACGTACGTACGTAACGGATGTAGGTAATGTAGGTACGTACGTACGTACATACGCACCGATTTTGTTTGTTAAAATGAACATATATTAAAAAAAAATGAATATTATTGATTTGAAAATATAAAATCACGAAAAAAACAGGAAAGGGGGTTTTTTTTCAAAGATGATTTGATTTTATCGAATCATGTTATGTGTAAGTCATTGTGTAATAATGTGGAGTGCATATCAATATCAAAATTATCAAAATTATCAAATGTAACAATTTGTCTTTTTGATGACGGAGGTCGAGATCCTTAACTATTAAAATAATCATATTTTAAAAATCATATTTTTATAATTACTGTATGTACTTAATAAATAAATACTTATTATACTTATTATTCAACGATTTATAATTTTTTTATATCACATACTTTTTTACATTCACATCCGATTCTAGAAAAAGTAAAAACTATTCTTGTACATATTATATACATATATATTATCATTTAATTGATCTTTTATGGTCAAACGCCAGAACAAGCCAAAGAACCATGTTTGTAAACAATCAACAATAAAATTTATTTTTTCCTTTTGTTAAAAAAAAAAAGTTCACAATCCTCAAAACCTAAACAAGTTATTCCTTAATCATATAATCATTTACTCTATCAGAAATTATCCGATATGTATTTGATGTGTATTTTGATGTGTATTTCAATATTTCAGTATTTGATATGTATAAATCTTATTGATATATATATAATCACTTGGATTATTTATACCGGAGGATACAATTAAAAGAACGACCGATAAATTATTCGTAGGGCGTATTTTTTTTTTTTTTAAAATAAAATAATTTCGTTCAATTAAAATTACCGATTTAACTGATAAACTGATAAGGAGAGTAACTCGGACTCTTTTAAATTAACTACAAAAGTTGAAATTATCGTAACACGAAACCTAATAAATAAACTTCATTTTATGATGATTTAGAATAAAATAACCTGTATTAGTTTTTAAAATTCCAAATGTGATTAGTTAAAACCTATTGTACTCAATGATTTTTTATTCGTTTATTTGAAAAAAAAAAAGATTCATAATAATAACAAATAATAATAATAATAATAATAATAATAATAATAAATATATTAAGAAAAATAGAATGAACCGCAAATGAATAAAAACTCGTTTATTAAAAAAAGGGAAATTTTTTTACTTTTGAACTACAAAGTTTTACGATGCATATAAACAAAAAGGAACAAAAAAAAATTTATCTTTTAAAGAATTAAGAATAACGCGCGTTTCTTAATTTAACACGGTCAATCGATTTACATTGCCAAGGTTACTCAATAATAATAAACATTATACGTCATGCGGTTTTTTATTCGTTTTATTTATTTGTTGATCTCGTCATACATCACTTTTTTACTTTTCGTCATACAGTCACCTCACCGGTCTTCGGATATTCTTTGCATCTCCTATTCCATATTTGACCAAAAAAACAGCAATACCTTTAAAGTTTAGACGTTCTTTTTATTCTTATTAGTAATTAGAATTTATTAAATAACAAATACAGGTATTAGATACCGGTCTTAAAAGATATCAAAAGATATCAAAAGATATAAGATATCAATATTTGGAATATTTATATAGTTAATAGGTAATAAATACGTTATCAGATAATTATCAGATATTTATCGTATAATATAGTATATATCAGAGTACATATCAGAGTATATATCAGACAGAGTATATAAAGATCGTTATCATACAAATACAAATTATCATACGTACAAAGTTATCATATAGTATCTAGATCGTATAACATACTATTACTATCTGCTATTGTAACATGTGATATATTAGCGTTAGTGTTAGTCTTATTAGTTTGCACATGGTATTAGTACATACCAGATACGTAAGTACGTGTGCGTACGTACATACGTACGTACATACAGAACAGCAGTAATAATTTACCTTTTAACTTCTTTTTACAGTGATCAAGTTTTCAAAACATTAATAGCCTATTATTCGTTCATGTATTATCTTACAAAGTTGGCTAAAAACAATAAACATTACTAAGATCAATTATTACCTGTGTTTGGTATGCTGTATGGAAATCTCGTACATGGGTAGCAGGAAAGTGCACGATCTCTTGCATTGAAATGAAAAGATTCATTTAAAAAAACCGCTCGGTTCTTCACTTTGTTTAACCCACCCTCTTCTTTACCATCTTTGGAATACTGGATTTACCATCAATTCAATTTATGCGTAATCTGTATTCATAATCTTTCTCTTGTGGTAATCATAACAATCAGTGTAATCAGTGTAATCAGTGTGACATTTATGAATTTTTTGTTAAAAAAAAGTATTACGATAACTTTATTATTATTAATTAATAGCGAATTGTTGTATTGAAAGAATATGGAAATAAAAATTCAATGAAAAAAATTATACCCTAATATGCGTTATATGCGTTTGACGATCATTGAAATAACGATTACTAATGTTTAAATGTTTTGGTAATTGAAGAATTTAAAAATGGTCGTGAATAATCTGAACTAAATTCAGAAATTTTATAATGTATACATATCGATATGCACGACCAATGAAAATTTCATTATCTTTATAGTTTTATAGTATTATTTTACATTTACATTTTACATTTACATTTACATTTACATTTTACATTTTACATTTACATTTACATATTAACGTTTATCAATTCAGTATTTCAGTATTTCAGTATTTTAACTTTACAATTAAAATTTACATTTTACATTTTTAAATTTAAATTATACATTTACATTTTACATTGTAGAGCGCCAAACAACAAAGACTCTAATTAATATCTTGAGCAATAATTGCATTGCATATAATCTATTATTGAATTATAAATCTATTTTTGATTAAAAATAGGGTTGACTAAAAATTCTCATCAATATCAATGTGGTCAATGTTGTCATTAGTGATACTTTATAAATGACGATACTAAGTACATATTAAGTACGTACGTACGTTAGGTTATTTTAAATCATCCACGTGTTGACCAACATGTTAATTTTTTTAAAAAAATTAAAACAAGTTAAGAAATATTGCGACATACTTACTTACATTACTGACATAAGTATGTACATACGTTTCGCATTAATCTTCTTCCTAAAATTGACACATTTTTTAAAATACATACATACGTCAACAAAATGTACATGACTCTAAATAACGCGTCATATTTTAAGTATACATGCACTATTTAAATCATAAATAAACCAGAAATGGCGTTATCTACATGTTTATCTACATGTTTATGTACTCATTAAAAAAATAAAGCTTGAAAGTGCAGGAGAATTTTATTATATATGTATATACTTATATAATGTATTTAATTTTACTTCTCCATACTTTAATACTCTATACTTTATAGTAATAGAAATATTTAAAAAATAGCTTTTTTTAAAAGATTGGAAATATCCAAATTTATAACAATTATAACAATTGTAAAGTTTGTGACGAATTTAACAATGTGTCAAATTTTTACTCACATCAAATACATCAAATACATCAAATATAGAATATTATTATGGTAAAATATTTGTTGATAATCTACAAGACATTACTTTCCATTATCTTCACATAACACACCTTTCACGTAACAGGTAACGTAACGCGTGCTTTAGTGTGAAATTTTCATAGTCACTTAAACGCGTTTATTATTTAGTACAATTTAAATTAACTATTCTTAATTCTTAATGATATAATATGTCGATTATTTTTAGAATGAGTAATGAATTTCATTTTTAGTTTCACTTTGAAACTGAAGGGTTCGAAGATCTTTTTACATCTTGCTTATAGTGAGCGACAAAATTAATCGACCTGGCATGGTAAGCGTTGTAAATCATTTTATTCTTTTGTTTAAAAGTTCTACACAAATAATATTTTTTCCGATCAAAAAAAAAAAATTGCTAATCCAAAAGTTTATACGGTAAATGAAAAAAAAAAATCATAAAAGAGTAATTGAGTCGAAAGTTACACTGAAAGTTTAAAATCGTGCCGAAAACTTAACGCGAACAGATTATCAATCTTGCCATGTTTAGTAAATAAGGTTTATTCGATAATTTCCCGAAATGTTGTGTAATTTCTCAAAGTACACGGCTCTTGCTCGCTTTTACACGTTCTGTAAGTGTATGTACTATGAAATTCTTTAAAAGCAACTATTAAAAACTATTAAAAACTGTCAATTATTATTAACACTTTTAGAAATTTAATAAAAAATCGATACTATCATTTCTTTATTATTCATTGTGAATTATGAATTGTCATTTTTTTGCAATATGATAATCGTTTTAGCTAGATCAAATACGTTTATTCATTTTACCTCATTATTTTACCTCATTAAGCATGTCTAAATATCCGACAAAATTTTGTGATGCAATGTCCCTTTTGACTTGATCTATAAAGCATTAGATCTGACAACATTACTGAATTTAAATATGATATGCATCATCGTCTAGAAAATCCTCTCAATAAATGAACCATATTAATATTTATTTCCGAGAATTAAATATGATTTATAGACATCACTTAATTTTAATCTCATATTTTAAACTTATTACTTGATAATCAGTTCACACATCTCTACCATTTTTAAATTCATTCATCTGGGTTAAATACTCAGAAATTATATTATATGTTAAAAGAAAATCTTTATTAAAAATTAAATGAATTAATCAACATTTTATTTAAAGCTTCAAAAGCAATAAAAAAAAAAAAAAATTCTATTCCACTGATTTTGAGTATTTAGCTTGCTCAGTGGTAACTTTATTCCTAAATGTACTAATTACTTCTTTAGGATTATTGGCTTTAAATATAGATGTACCAGCTACAATCACATTTGCGCCAGCCTTAGCTGCTTGATCGATTGTTTCAAGTGCCAAACCTCCATCCACTTCTATATCTAACTCTGGAAATTTTTCTCTTAATGTCTTTACCTACAAAATTAAAATTAAACCATTAATTATCTTAATAATTATCTTATTATCATGCTATATTTGTATTATAGTACGGCGGTCATTAATCATAAATTATGCTATTTATGTCTTTTTCAAACTCCTTTAATTTGTATAGTGTAATATGAATGACGTATGCATCGTGTAATATAACAAGCATGGATGACGAAATGATCAATAGTGGCCGTGCTATAAAATGACATATAACATTGTTAACAAACATAACAAATATATCATGCATACCTTTGACATACAGTCCTCCATAAACTTTTGACCACCAAAACCAGGTTCAACTGTCATTACTAAACACATGTCAATCTTATGACCCAAAGGAAATATAGCATCAATAGGTGTTTTAGGTTTAACTGCAACACCAACTTTCATTTCATGACTACGAATTTCATCGATAAGTTTCCCCGGGTCTTGTGATGCTTCTACATGAAAACAGAACAATGATGCCCCTGCTTTTGCAAAATCTTCAACCCACTTTTTTTAAACAAAAATATAATAAAAAAAAAGTTATTACTAGAGTATATTTAATTTGTGTTTAATAATTCGGAAAAACAAACCTTTTCGGGGTTTGATACCATTAAATGGCAATCTACATGAATTTTAAAGACTATAATTAATTTAAGACGCAAAAAAATTATATAATTTTTTTTTTACCCCAAAGTTAAGGGTTCACGCACGTTACCAAAAAAAGCATTGGTATGTTTTCGTAAAGATCGAACTACTGGAGCACCAATAGTAAGATTGGGGACAAAGTGTCTAAACGTTAAAAAAAAAATTTTTTTTGATTTTTTTTTAGATTATTTTTTCTTCAAGATACACAAATTCAGTAAAGTTTTAAAGGTATTTTTACAAATTTCGATGCATACCCATCCATAATATCTACAATTATGATTTAAAAAAAAAACAATGGATTTTAATTAAAAAAATTTCCACGTTCATTTTTTTCTATCATTATTACCGTTTAGATAGTAATAATAATAATAATAAAAAAAAAAACAACAAAAGCAAAATAAACATACCAATATGCAGCCAGTCAGCCCCTTCATTTATCATACGTTGAGATTCAACTGCAAGTTGAGCAAAGTCGCCAGATAAAATGGAAGGAGCTATAATTGCTTGTGGCATCTTTAATTTATTAAAATAAAAACTTTATAATTGGATATTTTTTTTATTTACTTATTATCTAGTGATAAGGTTTTTTAAGAGAAAGGACTTTTATATAGTGTTACGATGTTCAAAAATCTGCGACATTATTAAGAGGTTGTTAATTATTATGTAATGGTCATTTATTATGTAATGCTCCTAATTTGGATTAATAATATATTACCTCATGGCGCAGCAATTAATAAGCAATCACTCTCTGTTATCTCGAATCTTTTTTTTTTACATAAGAAAATTGAAATTGATAGATATCCCTATTATCAATATATCAATATATCAATATATCAATATTATCAATATTATCAATATTATCAATAATTACAAACTATATAATATGATCCTGCATACTCACATGCTATAAAAAAGATTGGCTTTTTTTTAAATATAATTTTTTTAAAAATATTTGACTCTTTAATTTGTTTCAATTTCGAGTCTAATTTAATTAGGGTCTAGAACCAATTCCTTATGAAGCTATGCGGAAGAAGATATAACCCTATTCTCAAGAAAACGGGTCGAAAAATAGTTTTTCTTTTAAGAGATCTAAATTACATGTGATTCTTTTTTTGATTCATGCTTTAAAATGAGACAAGATTGAAATACTCAAAAGCATACACATTCTATTATCTATTACCTATAAGAGTGCTGTTTTTTTTTAGATATTAAATTCAAAACGCTCAGCCTGTAACGTCGTCTTTATCTCCTACAACTTTCTAAAATAATGTAAATTGTAACACATAATCAACCCTCATAATTATATTTACAATAGCGCTTTTTTTTTTTTAAATCTAAACTCCTACAGTATCATGGGCGTTCTTACAAATTATTCTATAATACAAACTTATTAATTATTAAAAGTCTATAAATTAATGTACTTAAAATTTCATTGAATAATTGTTCTTATATATAATATGTATAGATTTATACTTAATAACACTGCAGAAAGCTTATGAAAGATCACTCATTAAGAAATATGTATACCTGACATAGTTGCTTTATAATAAAAATTTTAAAGTTGCAAGCCATTGAAAAACTGTTGATAAATAATAAGCTTTTTGTCTCGAACCATTTATCATCTGATCAGGTATGTGACATTCCTCGAGATGTTCCGCGTACAGTACTACACGTATCTGGTATGTACTGTACGTACGTACGTACGTATATACATGCTGTACTTAACTGTACTTAACATTATCATTAACTGTTAATGTAAGTACGCGAAAATTTTATATCAGCCAATCATATTTCTACAAGTACTGTACGCGAAAGACTGCTCATTTCTATCACCTTTAGTATAGGTGGCTCTACTCTAAAATCAATTGATTAATATAATATATTTTATTAATGGGTCACCTATACTAAAAGAGATCTGTATAATGGATTATTAACGAAGCGAGTTATAAAGAGTATAAGGAAAAATAAGGTCATAGTATATGTCTTTTTTTTTCGAAACTCGACTTTTATTCTGGTTATATTGGTTTAGCCCCCCTTTTCTGCCCAAGTGGCTTGTTAAAATCAACAGCTAAAAACTAAGGCGGATTAAGCAGGGTTTTAAAGTTTGTATAGATTGTAAATGAGTAAAGATGACCTGTCGTTGCGGTGATTATATGGGAAATGTTTAAGTAGTGACTTGTTGGGATGAACCTGTCGAAACGACAGCCATGAGGGAAATTTCAAGTTAGAAATTTGAAAAGATAAGAAATATTATGATAACTCTAGCAACTAGGAATTGATCTCAGAAAGGCTGCGTAGGTTACTCGATAACAGAAGAGGCAATACCCGTATATGTTCTTCATAGTATTAAAAATTATAAAAAGAACTATTATTATATAGTGTAGGTATTCTCACGTAACGAGAACTGAAAATAAAGGTTCCTAATAGATTTATCTAAATAGATCATGCAAAAAAATACTGTAGAACATTAGATCTCGCTTAATTCTGTAATTAAAAAAAATCAAATTTAATATAACAACGAACTTTTTAAGTGTCGCGGATGACACCGAATTTGAAAATATCTATATAGTAAATTTTATTAACAACTTTAACCTTAAATTCTAAGCCAACTCTAAAATAAAAAAAAAATGCTCTCTGAAAAATCGGTCAAAGTTTCTGCATCATCCGATTTCTATTCCTATTACCCATATTTTATGATAACAGATAAGCATAGCCACTGCAGCAATTGTCACATGAGAAAAAATATACTAGATTGAACCTGTTGCTCACAACATGAGAAAGAGAAATCCAAGATCATTGTATTATAAAGAATGATATTGCCGTGTATTGTATTGTATTAGAGTATTATAACAAGAAAAGGTGATTCAATATTATTTTTACTTCATTGATTAAATAGACTATATCAATTATCAGTTTGTAGGTATTATGTATATTTCGTTCATTAAATCAAATTTTCACAATCTAATAAAATATATAAATCTACAGTACATATTTATAAATCCGGATTAAAAAAAGATTTCCGGATCCGTACACTATCTCCGCCAATATTGTGCAAATTTATGAATAGTTTCAATAACTTGCGGAAATAGTGCACTTACTGAATCGTTAATTAAATTTTGGAAATATTTAATAGCTTCTTCCTCTGTCAAATCTAATCGAAATTTCTCTTGAACCTTTAATAATAATAATAATTAATATAATAGTGATTAGTATAAAACGAGCTATGCTTAAAATGCTTAAGATGCTTAAATTGAACAAAAATGACTCACTTTCCAAACTGCTTTATCAGGTTCAATTTTAATATCAGTTATATTCGCGTCAACCATTAGCGCTAACAAATTAAGAATTAGATTTGCGCTTTTGCGCAAAATATTAAACGCTATATAACAATAGCTTTTAAATCTCTGATAATGAATTGAATTTGCGCCGCCCATTGCTTCCACCATTTCTTTGCATAATTTCATAGGTGGTGGAAATGGTTTTGGATCTCGTCCCAAGATAAATCCAAAATCTACATGGAATAAATTGCCTACAAAGATAAAACAATATTAACAAGTATAATTTAATCAATGGTTAATTACTGAGAATATTGTCAAAAAAATTAATTCCTTACCATCAGGAGAAAGTAGCAGGTTGTCCAGGTGACGGTCTCCAACTCCAAGCAAATATGTAATAACACAGTATCCAGCTATAAAAAAAGCGTATGCAACAATTAATTTGTGATATCTACGGAATTACACTTATGAAAAGGATATATACCACAACTTTTCACATAAGTATCCATTACAGCAGGACTGACTCCGTATGTTCCAACCGCTTTCTCTTCTGGGTGATGCGCTTTCAAAAACTGTAGCAAACTACCATTATATTCACTCAAAACATTTGCTAATGATGATGGTGTGATAAATTGCATCACACCATGATTTGAACCGGTGGGAAGAACTTTATAGGGTGTCAATTTGAGATCCAAATTCTCTTTTCTCAAAAGCCTATCCATAAGCGTAATAATTTGAATGACAAGTTGATCTTGACGAAGATCATCACCAGTTTTAAATATAACCTAACAAAATATAAATATAAACCCCAATTTCAACATATAATAAAGGTAAGATTCTTTGTTTATTCTTTTTGTTTATTCTTACCGGATACTCTCCACCATCCGCTAGTGTAAAAGTAAGTCTTAACGGGAATAAATTGCTCTTAAATACCGTAGTTTTTTCTAAACAACCATTATGGTCAATATGATACCCTTAACCCAAAAACCAGACTAAAATAGACTGAATAATGAACTGACCTGGAATTATGCCAGTAACTTCTACGCGAGCGTCTAATGGCAAAGGTAAAGGTGCAAATTGCAATAAGCCATTTTTAGGATCAGATATTATAGCCCTAAGTCTTTCAATCTATTTTTTCGTTTTTTTTTTTATTTTAATATTTTTAGAAATAATTATTCATAACACAAAATATTAAATTCATAACACAAATATTAAATACTTTTTTTGGCCTGGCTTCTTTCATCATACGGATTTCTTTAGATATAGAAGAAAGTGCACTAATTAACTCTGCTTGCCGACGAAGTATATCTCGTCGTTCTAAACCCGTTGGAATCTAAAATGTATAAAGGAGCTGTGTGAATACAAGTAATGTAATTAGTAAACAAATATTAATTGATTAGAGAATACCTCCTTCATGGCTGTCATGAATTGATAAGTAATTTTGCCATACATTTTGCCAACTACTTTATCATCACATTCAACCATAAGATACCTATAAAAATATGGTTAATCTGTTACTGATGTTCAAAAATTTTTATTTAATATAAAAAATTTTTTTTACCAATAAAAATTATTTCCTAAAATGGGATTCTTAATCGCCCTTTCAATCAAGAATTCTGCTAAACTAGATTCATGTGACGAACTAGATTTATCGCTAATATTTTCAAATTTTAGAGCTTGAACAAGTTGCAATAAATACAATAACAGTTCCTGATAATAAATTGATATCAGATTAAAAAAATCAATTATAATTAATTATGGACTGATTAAATAATTAAAATCCAACCTCGTCGTCTGCTTTTTTTAATTGACCGACGGCATATCCACGAACAGCTCGATTCTCAAAATTAGCACCTAATAGTTCAAGAGCATCATCCAAATCTATATCAACCCATTGAGGTAATAGTTCAACAGCTTGTTTTACCTCAGTTGGATCAGTCCAGACAACACACTTTAAAAATTTAGTAAGCGCCTAAATAAAAGAAACGGTCAGCAAAAAATTTTATTGGCTATAATAAAATGATATAATTTTTTTTTTTACTTTTTTATCACGAGTAAGATAAAATCTGAATTTCCAGAGAAGGTCTTTTTCTTCCGATGAAAGAGGTTGTGTCGGCGGATATTTCAGTATTCCCTAAATAATGATACCTTTGTTAGTATTAACTAAATCATCTATCTTCATAATATAATTAATAATTGAACTACGTTTAAATCATCTCGAATTTTCGCGTTCGGTTTCAGATCACGATCAAATGGCCCATTACGATGACTTCTCACTAAACGTCTATGTTTCGCTTCTACTGGATTCTCACGCGCAATCTCTGGATCAACGATGAGAGTTATGTTTGGGTAACTCGGAGTAGTAATTGTATTAGTATGTCCATGACTGTTTACCACTGTTGGTGGCTGTGCGACGCTTGGTAATGGATAGTCCTAATATATATAGATATAAAATAGTGTGTCAAGGTCATGATAAAACATAAATAAATATATAATTTTAACATTTCCATACTTACAGGTTCACTAAACACTACTGGAAAATCAAATTTCGGCAAATCGATATATAAATATAAATTTTTTGACTTTGATGATTCTTGCTAATGAAATAAATGTACATTTTGTTAGTCATAAATATAACTTTAAATAAATTACTACATACGGTCGTACCTTATGTATTTTCTCTATTTGACGAAATGCAAGATTATCAAGCCATTCTAACTTTGCCATGTCATTCCTTTCGTATCTCTT